GTACACATGGGAAGACTTGATGGGCATCACAGTTCACCGCTCGGGTGCTGGACGATCAGCATTCGGCCCTGGGGTCTGCGGCATGTATAGGTCTTCAGTAGCTGGGCAGCTTCTCTACCTTTAATGCAAAGGAGGATGACAGTGTTGCTGACCGATACTTCCATGCCTAGTGTGTTGAGGTCAGCGATGATACGGGGTAAAGTGTGACATGCCACCTTGAACTCTCGCGAATGTCTGAAGCTCCATTGAACGTGGAAATCATCTGCGTAGCTAGTAATGCTGCCTGCTGGCGAATATGTTGACAGCTGATCATGCACCAGAATGGTAAAACAGATCCACAGCAGTGGAGACAGACCGCATCCTTGGCGGATGCCTCGGCCCATGCCTACCCTCGCTCGCTCCTGAAAACGTTCAATGACCAGGCAGGCATTGTCGTGAATGGTGAGGATTAGCGCTATGAGGTCCGGGTCTGCATGGACGCGACGCAGGGCTGCGACGAGCGTGGTACGCGGAAGCCGGTCGTAGGCTTTGGCCAGGTCTAATGAGAGCTGCATACCGCCTACAAAGCCTGTGTTAGTTGTGCGCTGCTGTTTATGGAATAAGGAGTTCTGGTAGGCCTTTACTGAGCTACGGATTGCGCTGCAATGGGCCGCTACCCTGTCTATGGCATCAGCGGCCTGACGACCTGCTGTATATGCAAATTGTGGGATGGCCTGTACTGCTTGCTCCACATAGCCACGCAGTCTCTCTGCCGCTAATCGGGCTAGGAGTTTGGACATGCACGGCAATAAACTTATTGGGCGCAGGTTGGCAGGCTTACATGGTGGTTTTCCCGGCTTGGGGAGCAGGGCCATATAGGAGTCATGCCAGTTCGGGTCAAGCTGAACCTGGGAACCTGACATGGCCTGATTGAGCTGTTGTGCTACAGTATCCACCAGTAAATCTGCCGACAATCGCCAAAGAATGGCCGGGGCATGGCCTGGAGGCAAGGCTTTGCGAGAGGACAGGGCATTGAGCGCTTGTTCCACTTCTTGATGGCTGAAGTGGATGGGTGACCGCAGGGGGTGGTTCCGTTTGTGCTGGTTATCGGACTGGTACAACTCTGAAAAGAACGTACGAAGTTGTTCCAGTTCTTCTTGTGCCATCAAAAGGTGTCCCTGCGCGTCACGGAAATGTATCGTTCGTTTCGACGTCTTGGGGCGCAGGCGGTTCATCAGGGAGTACATGCCTGATAGATTGTTGCCCCCGCTTTGCATAGCTTCACTGATGAGGTCATCAACTTGTTGAAGCTTCTTCTGCCTTGCCCGACGTCGAAACTCTTTGTCCTGCTTGGCAAAGGCGGTTGCAGCCCGCCACACTGACAAAAGTGGCCGAAGATTGAGCAGCGCCGTTGGGCGAAGCCGCAGTATGATGCTGGGAGGTCTATCTAGAATAGACATGACTAGTGGCGCCATATACGTCCTACATTGCATTTGGGCAGTCCTAAAGGCTCGCTTGGCTTCCCAGAAGTTTTTCAAACAAACTGGGGTGGTTGGGCGGCTTCCAGGGGCATTAGGTCTAGTTGGCGGTTGGTGGGTCAAAGTCTGTCGGGTGCTCCGCTGCCAGGCCTGGGTAAGACATTCATTGATGTCGCCATACTGCTGTATGGTTTCGCCCACTATTTGACGAAAAACTGGCACTACCGAGGGCTGTCGCTGAACTGTCTGCCTAGCCGAGTGCGCTGTGAGGTGCACAGGCTTTGAGTTGGTTGGGATCTTAGGGGAGCTAAACCAACATTCAACCGGGATGTGTCTAAAACCTGAAGGATGGGTCAGTGTACAGTGCCGCAACGTCGTGGCAGATAGACTCTGCGACGAGTCTGGCTGTCTGCTGAGGACAAAGTCCAGTTGCAATGGCGGACCCTGCGGCTGCAGAAAAGTGGCTGCTCGGGGCCCCTTGTGCGTCCAAGTGTTTACTGCTTTTAGGCCTAAGGAGGTTACCAGGCTTTGGAAGACATGCTGGTCTTTGTGGGGGTTTTTGGAATGGGCGGCTACACCTTGACCTACGTAGGGCGGTTGAGGGCGTAGGGTGGCGTTGGCATCACCTGCTATGAGAAGCTGGTTGCGGCGCGGGACCGCTCGCACCCACTTTCGCATAGATTCCCAAAAGTCTGCGCGGCTTTGCAGCAGCTGCTGGATACGTTCCTCGGAACTACCTGTCCATTGTTTCAGACCGGGGTTCCAGGCGTGTTGGTACATGCCCAACAGGTCAATGGCAGGTTGGGTTTCCAGGCGTAGATGTGCTAGTCTGCCTGGTATGAGTTCAGAGTAACGTATTTGCTCTTTGTTGAAGGTTTTCTTACTCAACATGAACAAGATCCCCCATTGGGACGAGTTACTGCCGGAATGAACACAGAACCAATGTGCAAGTTCAAACTCCGAGCTAGAAGGCCAATGACTTTCCTGAATGACCATGATGTCAGGAGTTTCTTCAGGGTTGTGGGATGCGGCCCATTCCGTGAGTTCTGCGAACCGGGTGGCATGTAGGCCTCCACAGTTCCAAGAGACTAGGCGTAGTTGTTTTGAGGCTGGGGTTGTATTACGCTGGGGCCGGGGCTTACGGGATGGGCGAGGTACCGTCGGGAGCTCCAGAGTTGAGGTGGGGCGGCTCAGCACGGGGTTGCGCATGGTGCTACTTTGGCTAGCCTGGAGGTCTGCTACAGTGTGGTATCTGCCTCTATAAACTGTGCCATGGCCGTCCCGTAGGGCTCTACGCTGTGCTCTCCAAAAGGAGCGTTTGCCAGAGGCCGTGCCCAGCGTCAAACCACTGCCTCGTGCAGATCCGGGTGCTGTCGGGCTAGGGTGAAGACTCTGGGGCCGGCCTACGCCTAGGGAACACCAGGGGAGAGAAGCGAATAGAACCCAGAAGAACCATAAGGCAAGGCGGGAACTGGGTCTGGGTATAGTGTGCTTCTGCGGGCAGGACTGGTGCAGTCCAGAGCACGCTTGGCCTTGCTTGACGCTTGTACGAATTAGATGCATGCGGCAGGGCTCACAGGCCGTGAGGCGGCGGCGGTACGTTCCTGGCCGCAGTCGGCAGACTAACCACTGTCGGGTTGGCTTGGAAGGTCTCCAGCCACAGGCACTCAAGATCAAGATTGACAGGACTATAAGAACCTGAAACATGCTGGGTTGACCTGCAGGAGGATCTAGATTGTAAGCCGTAGGGCTTTTCGAAGGATGCTGTGTCCTTCGGAAATGGGGGTGAAACTGAAAAGTCGCAGCAACTGTGGCCCGATACAGGTGCGAAGTACTGTTAGCTTTGCCAAACGTACTGTAAAAAGGTGGGTCGTTAAGCTTCGCTATGAAGTGGAGCTTGAAGGAGGGGCAGGTATTGCTAGCTTCAGGAGATGCTCGACCAAGCTGATCTCCAACCCTCACGTCTGCCCACAAAAACAAGTCAGCAAGTCCTGTGGATGTCTCATGTTGCCCTCGCGCTGACCAGTTCTGTGGGCCCCTGGACTTGGGACCAGGGCAGTCCGGCGTTGTAATCCAGCCTGCAGAATCATGACGGTGGTGGCGGCGGCACGGGATCCGCGGATCCTCTCGGCAAAGCGTTGCGGTCAACTTCCGCCCCAGTCTCATCCATCCGGGCCAAGGCCGTTGCTGGAGGTGGCAAAGAGAGGTATTGATTCCACTCATAGTCCTGAAACCACTGTTGGAACTGCAATTGTTCCTCCACTGTGAGCCAAGGAAACATCGCCGTAAGGAAGTCTTGGTACCACAGGGACGTAGCCATGTTGCTGAAGGTGTCTGCAGCTTCCAGGGCCAATGGCTCCGGGAGGCGTTGTCGCAGCCTCTCCAGGACATAGGGGCGCAACTGCTGTTGAAGGCGCTGCTTGTCCGGGCAGTGTTGATTACCCGTGGTAAGAATCCAGGCTCTGTCGTTTCTAGCAGGGCGTCGCTGTAAGAGCTCTTTGAGCCAGCTGAAGTTGCTGCGCAGAGTTTCGGCCGTCGTGGCATCCAAATGTGCCATCGTTCTGTCCAAAACTGCCTCTGCCGGTAATTCTTGCTGGGTCCTGCCCCAGGCAGCCACAGTAGAGGATATGGACCGTTGTGGTTGTCGCAATACCTCTTCCATGTACAGCCTTCTAGTCTGCCAGCAGAAAAATCTGAGGACTGTATTTTGGAGCCAGGCCAGGGATCTGCGGCTATGCTCCGTGAGCTCGAGCCGCGTATCACTGATATCTTCCAAAGCAGCAAGGGACCGTTGAGGAGGATGAGGTGGGCCAGCCATAGAATAATAAAGAGGCTGCTCCACTTGCTCGCTGGTCTCCGAGGAAGAGCTGGAGGATCGATCAGCCTCCGAGCTTGACGCTGCCGACCGTGGCATATGCCACCACACATGGGCGAACTCGTAGGCCCGTAGAATGCTTCGGCTCGGACCGAGACGCTTATTTATTTACACATACATACGTGCATACATACATACATACATACCTACCTACCTACCTACCTACCTACCTACCTACATGCATGCATGCATGCATGCATGCATGCATGCATACATACATACATACATACATACATACATTATGAGATTAGCTAAACATGTCTGTGTTTATTTGCTATGCGGTTGTTCTTTTAGTCAATTGTCTGCTTGTTTGATGTTCATGATTTGCTACTTCGTCTGCTCATACACATATATAGATATAGATATATAGATATATATATATATATATGTATGTGTGTATATATATATATATAGATATACACACACACATACCAAATCAATCACACATTGACTGCTTGTCGCTAATATGTATGTATTAGCATTATTCACACACACCCAACCAAGTATGAATGGAAAGACCTGAATAATGGTGTGAAATCGAGCCCGGTGCATACATGATAAACTGGCAGGACCGCCCAGAAGATGTGGTTTCGTGTAGCTCAGCCTAGGGCTTCGGCTTTGCTTTCGTGCAGCCCGTTTACGACCGCAAGGCAAGAGGTGATTTACCTCTATGCCTTTCGTCCGCTGTAGCTTGTTCCTGCAAGGTTTGCCTCCATCTTCAACTTGCTGTCTCCCAGCTCAGATCGGTCCTGCACTAATCCAGCTGCCAACCAAAGATGAGGGCAGCTCTAATGGCAGAAGGCCTTAACTAGCAATGCCGAACACGATAGGTCCTCTTGCACCGTCGTGTCAAAGGAATGCCAAAGTATCGCTAAGACCAAGTTCATGAGGATCAAGCCTCCCGAGTGCAGGACGCTGCGAACTGCAGCGTCGAATCTGCGATCTCTGAGAGACGTGGCCCCCAAAGAGCATCAACAGGATGAAGAAGGGAATGGTCAGGCCGGGCCACTTGGCATCCTTCGGGTCCAGAACCCTCCCTCTCTCGTCCCCTACTCATCGCAGATCGTGAATACCCCAAGAACAAGATTGGAATGTGAATGACATTGACATGGACCGAGATGAATACCATGGGACCGAAAGGTAATGGAGAGAACTGATAGCAGGAAGTATCACAGAAAGGCATGACCGACCAGAGCAATAAGAAATTTTGGAACTATTAGAGCAATCAAAATTCCTTGTTGATCACACACGACAGTGGCTGTGCGTGGATGCTCCAACGCAAATCACTTGAGCATGCATTGCGATTCCAAGGGCACATGCCGCGATTTCGGGTTGACCCTGCTCAATTTGATTGTGTTGAACTGCAAGGTCCGGTCCGTGACCGCTGTTGTCCCTCGCCATCTCGGGGCAGCGCCAAGCATTGCATGCTTCTCGGTAGGCAACTGGCAACTCTCCTTCCTGCTTGCTTGCCGTTTGCCTGACTGCCGGCTGGGTCTCCTTGCATCTTTCTACTCCTGGCCATGGTGTTGCGCCAAGGAGGCCGACCTGATCGAAGAACGTAACATGTGGCTCCCCGTGGGATTCGCAGCAGCAATATGCGCTTCTTCGTGAAACACGGGCGTCTCAATTCAGCCGCGCTTGGCTCCTCGAAGCGGTGCATCAGGCTGACCCAGCCGTCAATGTTCACGACCTCCAAATCTCCAAAATGCCCGCTCACTCTCCTTGGACGCTCTTGGAGCCCCGGGCCTGGAAGGTCGTCAGCAAGCCACTCCACAAGGTCTGGTACCTCAATCTCACAGGGCTGCTTTAAAGCAAAGCAACCCCAAGTGACCTACTGCATCCAAGTGTAAGCCAAGCACCCCGTGAAGCCATAGTCAGCCTTAGCAGTTGTGCATATCTGCCGTCACAATTTGCGGAGCAGCCGAGCTTAGCCGAGCTTCCAGGGGATTCTCGAAGAGCTCCGGCCATGGATTGTAACCGGGAAGTGGCCCCGTGTCCGTACTCACCTTGTGTCATCTTGTGTCAGCCGCATCAAGGCAGCTCAGGCTCTGGAAGCCCGGGGACGGCACTGGAGACCTACAGTAGGTCGGAGCACCGGATGTTGTTGGTACCTGGGTTCTCATGTTCTGGCGGCCTGTAACGCTCCGTGTCAGCATGACTGAACAGGCGACCGATCTCGATCACACCACGGGCCTTGCAAGCAATTCCGGCTGAGCTCCCGCACACACTCATATCGGCCACCGCAGAAGCGCGGTTGAGAAGGGTCCAGAGGCCTGGGAAGCAGACTCGAAGCAGCTTAGGACTTGCGAGCCTTCAAGGAGCCGCGGTTCCGGCCAGACCAAGGTGCCGTTCACAAGGTAGGGCTCTTCAGAAAGCCGGCAGCGCCTTCCACCGTTCCCACACCGTACGCGAACGTTCAGCCAAGGCATGCAGAGGCCAAAGGCCTCCAATAGACATCGCCAAAGAGATCTGTCCTCAAGAGGAACAAATCGCGGAGACCGGGAACGAGCCAGTGGTAAGCAAAGTAAGCCTCACACCCAGCCATGCTAACCACGATCAGGGTGAAGGTAATCGCAAGGGACGAGATCCAGAGGCGGTACAACTGAGGAAACCCGGAGGCTGCTTTGAGTCCCTACGTCCCACTTCCCACCCGAGAATCCAAGGTCTGCACGCTCTTTGAAAGGGCTTGTACTATGGTCCTGTGAGCATTCGGCACACCCACACATTGCACGTTAAACTGCTCACAAGGTGTCCTCAAGCGTGGCAAGAAGGTCATCCCTCTAATGACTCGGAAGACCTGCTCCATTGATCGGCACAAGCCCATGATGCTATGGTGCTGTTCGCTGTGATGGCTTAATGAGCCGCGGACTCGGAAAATACGGAGGACTCTCATCGTCCTCAAGTCTTGTTCAGAAATCACCTGAACGGCTGAGCATGAGCCACAAGTGAGACCAGCCCTCAAGCTCTCCGGCCCAACTCCCGCCAGGAAAGTTTGAAGAGTGCAGTAGATGGGGCTGGAGCTTCTGCAGCGAAGGGCTCCACAAAAGTAAAAATGACCTTGTTTGTGGAGGCGAAGAGACTCGAGCCCAAGATCCAGAGCTCAGGCTCCGCACCACCATCATGTCTATCCAGTTGGAGGGCTCTTTCAAGTAGCACGGGTTCGGCGCATCGCCTGCGGCTCGTGTTTCGCTCCGCGAATGCCTTGGGTGATCTTGGGTGCATTGGGATCTTGAGACCGAGGCCGAAGAAAAGCCCCTGGGCAATTATCCGGCATGTGCACTCGATGGTGAAAACAGCCTGGCGCATTTGGAGGTGCGATGACTGAAGAAGGCACGAAAAGTGACCGCCGAGGAAGTGTCCCATGTAGGTGGCCACAGCAGGCAGGAACCACACACCACCTACAACCCCTCTTACATCCCAGAGACGCTGAGGCCTGATACCTCTTGCTTGTGCTTTAGCCAGGGCCTAACTTCCCGGCATCAATTCCGCCCGGTCGACCGAAACCAGGGTCTCAAACACGAAGTAGGTGTTCTGCACACCTGCGAGGGTCGCTGAGGGACCGAAGGTCGGCGTGCACTTTGGACATGCCATCGGGCCTCTTGGCTGACTTGCCTCGTCGTATGCAACAGGATGTGCCATGACCTGGTGAGAAAGCCGACAGTGCGATCCCAGAGCTCAAGCTGGCAGAGGCCACCAAGGCATTGCAAATGATCAGGATGATGACAAAGTTCTCGAAAACACTGGTGCGAGAAGCGGAAGAAGAAACTTTGCCATGACATGCCATGACCACTCTACAGATAAGTGGTGCGCAACAGAAACAATTGGGCACGCCAGCAGTTGCCTCCACTCGACCAGCCACAGCATTCGGTAGCGGAAGCGCTCAAACATGGGGATCTCCTCGCGAGCAGGCGCGAAGCGGAGCGAGTCTTGCGAAGTTTTGCTGCTCGCTTCTCGGCAGCGTCGCTCGCCTCTCTGAAGAAGCCACAGGAAACTTTCACAAGCCGCAGCTCTTTGCCGTGCACTGTTGCCTCAAACAAACTAGCACGACATCGCATGTCTTGCGTGAAGTCGGTAGTGGCTTCAGTGATAACTTTCCACTGGCACAAGGCTCGGACCGCCCAGTAGTTCGCATCTTGCTTGGCTTTGTCAAGCACATCCTGCCATTGTGGGTGGCTCAAGCAAAGCTCACGAGACACGCCAAGAGATGCAGGCTCACCAGGTAGGCATCGTAGAAGGTCATCCGACACCGGTGACCTAAACGCAAAACTGAACATGCTGAGGAGCTGATGGAGCCCCAGCTTTGTCGGACGAAAATGCTATCGCTTGGGACTGCCACCATGCAGCGTCCTCTGTTGGAGAATTCGCCTTGATGATAGTCGGATGCAGCGGCCAGGCAGAACCCCGGACCAGAAAGAGCTTGACCACATGAGATTGTCTTTGCCAGGCAACCGCTGCTCAAGATCTGTCATATGGATGTCTGGCGCCATGGCCGCTGCACCTCGCTTTTCGAATTGCATGTTGCGGTTACAGCTCGTTCCCGTGACAGGCACGAAACATGCAACTGGTCCGGCCTCGCGCGGCGAAGCCAGCAGGCTCGCAAGGTGAGAATTCACAAAAGACGCGTTATGAAGGCAAAGACGCACCGATACGTGCAAGAAGTTAGATATGTACGGAGTGCATATCATAAACATATCTTACACATACTGCTAAGACGCTGTGGGGCCCGTCCCTGGCACATACCACGATTCAGCTGACTCCGTATCTATCGTAGCTGCATCTTCCAATAATTGGCACTGCGGCCCGGGGTCCTACCTACTGTCCTATCTACAGCCCGTCACCTCCATCCACTTTGGAGAGGCTTGGACCTGCGTCAAGGCTGACCTGAGCTTGCGACTTACACTCCACCACTCCGAGAAAGCTTGAGATGCAAAGGGCTCGCACCGTAGGGGAGGGCGCCGCACCGTCCGTCCATTCCTCCCTCCTCTGGTCTCGGGCCAAGCGCTGCGACAGCAACGCAAAGCTGCAGCGAACTCTGCCCCAACCTTGTCAATCCCAGTGCCGAACAGCAACAAACAGCAGTGGAGGCTTTTACTCACAACAGCAGCTTTGTGCTGAATGCAGAGTCTAGGTTGCAGTTCCTCAGACACCAAAGCCTAAAGCCAAAGAGCCTACGTTTTGTTGGCACAGCCTCGTCAAGGAGTCTTGCACATGCGCCAGAAGCATCTCGCGCTTGCGAGACAGACGATGGCCATCGATGGCCCCGGCATTGGATGAACGTCAGAGCGCCTGCGATGGCCCGGAGGTATCACTTAGGGTGCATTGCATCAATGCCCATGTCACCTGCACGCCGCTCCTAGACATCGTCAACAAACCGTTCGGAAACTCGAGAGTTCGTTGGTGCTTCCTTTGAATTCAGGACCGGGGAGGCCTCGTCCACAGCTTGATCGGGATCCTGATTTCGGCTACGCAGCAATATCAGTGTGCAAAGGCAGCTCATTCTCTGTCGACAGAACAGAAGTGCTAGCCGAGCAGTCCAGAAGCGAGAGCTCAGTCTGCTGGGCACGCTGGGCACCCCTGGCCAGGCTACAGCAAGTCCATCCCACCGCTGACCCTCACATCTGCGTGCCTGTCAGCCCAGGTACCAGCCTGGAACGTGTATGCTGGGACAGCACCCATATAGATATCCAGGTGTCTGTCGATCTAGAGACTTCTTGCATGCGATCCCTCAGACCCACTCATCATGCTCTTGACGGCTGTCACAGCTACAGCTAATGTCAAAAAACCAGGTTTGTCAATCGGTACCAGGCTTTGCCCATCCGGAACAGTATACTTCGTTTCTGCTTCCTCGGGATAGAGTCTCTCGCCCACCCTCCGCGCCTGCAGCCGACCAACCACCAGTGACAAAGTCACCAGGGCCGCCTGAGACACCATGGAGGCAACGGACAGCATCGAGAACCGGAGCTCTTTTTTCCAAGTCGGGCACCAAACCGAAGCTTGCCAGGCTCAAGTGGCTGAGCCTGTCCACGACGGAGTGATGTTGATTCGTTGATTCTTCGTCCATTTGCTGAAAGCCCGGCCTCCTCCCCGGTTCAGCCTGCGACTGGTCATCATGCAGATGTTTGCCGCTGCTTGCGGAAACGCGTGCCTTCTCCGGCAGGCTCGCCAGCATCTGGAACTCCTCAAGGCAGGCCTCGCAGATGCGGTGGCAGAGTGTTCATGTTGCTTGTTGAGCCCCAAATTTCCCTGATTATGATTTTGGCACAAACACTGGAGCCACCCCTCTGCCGCCTGCCTTTGGCCCGCTGACGGCATGAGGATGTTGTTGCTCCATGGCCTTGCACAACTTCCAGCTGCGACATATCGCAGGCATAGGTCCCCCGCATACACTCATGACCGAAGGTAGCGCAAGCCGGTTTGAATCCAAGCAACTCTGGATCCATGCAGCAAGCACCTGTTGGAGTCCAGCCGATACGTGAAGACGTCGCATGCCCTCGACGTCCGGCATCGCCTCGAGCAAAAACTCTGTGCTGTGTGACATGATCGCAATGCCGAGGCAGTCCAAGGAAAACCTCTGAGCTGCACACTGCTGACATTCCGAAGAGCTTGTAGCGACCATCGACGACACCAAGTTGCCCAGGTAAGCAAGACCGATTCTTTTGCATGCATCTTGGGCATGACCTGTCTCAAGGGTCGCGCGCAATCCTGGCGTCGCAGCAGGCTCCAACTCCTTAACGATTGGCTTGGAGCACGCTTTGGGTCCACTGATGGCCATGTCACTCGCAAAGGTTGTGACGTTGTCATCCAACAGCCAGCAACCTTTGGAGTTTATGTAGTATGTGAACCTGGTACAGAAAGACAGGGTCTGGCAGGAGTACTGGCATGCGTTGGCATCTGCAACATAAGTTGGTGTCTTCATTGTTGCGTGCTGATATGCTTGGCCGCGGTTGGAGCAACTCGGTCGAGGAATAGATCTCATCATGACCAGCTGGCCGGCCCGTGTGATGTTGTGTCCGGACTCGTAGCGGTCACTTTCGACAGCTTGGGCACAAAGCTTGGGCCCACTGACTGCAAACTCGCTCTCATGTTGCGTCACATTGGAGCCTTGAAGCCAGCACGCCCCGGTGTTGTTGTAGAAGGTCCAGAACTGACACGTTGGTTGTGAGTTGCAGCTTGTCGCACAATCCTGCGGTGATCCCACGGCGCCACCATTCATCACCTCCAAGGTATTGGCTCGCTACGACTTCTCTAAAAGAAAACCCGGCGGCCTAGCCTTCACACTGGAGTCGAAGAAGGCTTTTCCCCGGAAGGAGCACTTCGGCCGCAGCCCGCCTCGTTCAAACCGACCAGCAAACGTGAGAAGCTTGCCCGACACCCCGCTCCTTCGTACAGCACAGGCGCCCTGGTGACGGTAGCCTCTGCGACCAATGCGGCCTGCAGGAATCGTGCAGAGCGAGCTGCTGCATATTCAGAGTATGTGAAACACCCCCGAGACTGCTTGGCTGGCCTTAGCCTTAACGGCCGCAGATGGCCTCAACAAAATGCGACATCCCGACAGCCACATGAGGGGACTACAACCTGGCCGAATCCTATGCTTGGCGCGCGACGCACAGTTCTTGAGGCCGCTGGTTCCGAATTTGTTGCCAATGAGCACCAGCTGGCGAGCGTGCACACAGAACAGCCGCACACATACCCCTAATCTTTCAAGCGCTTGTCAATACAGCTCCGCGTGATATCCAAGTCCACGGCTTCCGGTGTCATCGGGAGCTGCCAACAGACTTGGGAGTCGCTCAGGTAGGTCCATGCCTCGTGGCACCATCGGCAAGCAAGTGCAGTGGTGTCAGTGGTGTTGCAGAATAGCCTTTAGATAGCTGGAACATCATTTTAAGGATATCCAAGATCCGAGGACGATGCATCACATCCAGCTTGTTGCGCACAGGCCTACGGTAGACAAAAGCGGTCAGACGGTGCTTTTGACTCCAAGGGCACTTCTGACGAGTGCAGAGACTGGGGTACAGGCAGCCTGGCACTGTACGGCAGAGTCTGAATACCCCACGTCCTGTGTGAAGCGAGGCGAGGTCGCTGGATGACAACAGGTCTGTGGCGAGAGCTCATAGGGCAAGACCCTCATGCGGTTAGCAAGAGAATGCGACAATGCTGCAAGCCTGCTCTCACCAAACTGAGGCTGCTGCAACAGGAGGCGTTGAATCATCATAGTACGTGGTGAAGTTCTTGATGCAAGAGTTCGCGCCATCTGCCGCTCCTCGAAAACCGAACATGCCTTGTCATGCACCAGATTAAGAAAGCAAGTTGGTAAACCCATGGTTTCAAAGAGATTACACGATTGCACACATAGCATGGGAGAGAGGGAAGTGCCACGTGTACCGGGACAGAGAGGAAGCCGCGAGCATCTGCTGGTTCCGAAGCTTGTTTCATCCTGCCTCTCATGATTGCATTGCGAGAAGTCTTCTCAGTAGCTTTGACGGATGCGAGGATGTGCCTCTCACATATGCGGAAGGTGCGAGAACCCCAGAGCCTTTCACAGTGAGCTGCTGAATGCTTCGAACGTTCGTGCACTGTCTCAGGTGACTCCTGGGGTGCTGTTAGAAGCATGCAGCTTGACCCGGTGTGGATTGCTTTTGTGCCTGGCTCGTGCGTCGTTCTCTCGACTCCAGCATCGCCAACGAGCGATTCGGGGCTCCTGCGTACACCAGACAGGCAAAGAGTACAGCTCTGCGGACCATGGCGATGGCTATCTTCGTTTACACTTCGATGCAAAAGTCTGCTCGACGAAGAGTGGCATTGTTGACAAGAAGTTCTGCTCAGCCCACCCCTCCATATGCGTCAACAGGAGCCTCCGTAATTTCACATGACATGCTGATGGAAGCCTTCAAGTGCTCAGCAGCTGAGCAGGAGAGACGTAAAGTTGCAAAAAACGTCAAAACCGACAGGATGGAGGTCTCAGGTCGGAGGTTCACTTTTTGAGCTGCTCCCTTGAGGACGTGCCGAAGTCGGCTAAATTCCGTGCCCCTTAAAGGGCCATAAAAAACTACAGGTGGAGTCCGAATGCTTTCAGCATGCGGCCACTTCATAATTGGGAACTAAAACCTTCTTTCAAAGAAGGAGACTTTAATGGCGCATAGCACAACAAACCAAATAGCTGTGTCCACTATTGAAGTTACTATTGTCTACTGATCCCTTCAGTCAGTCAGCTCCGAGTAAAGACCATAGGAGTCCAAAATCAACCTGGGAAGAAGGGGCTCCTGGCGAAGCTGATCTTTCAGTCTGCATTCCGGGCTGTGCTGTCCTTTAAACTGCAACACCAGCACTTCCCGCCTCCATCAGGAGATGGGCCTGTTACGAACCATGCTGTGACGGAAAAGTCTGCTTGAGCTTGTCTTTGATGGGAAAATGCCTTTGCTCGCAGCGATGCCAGCTCCTTCCGCGCATTCACCATGCCAGCCTAAGCGCAGACTTGCCGCAGAACTATCCAAAGCAATGGCCAATTCCCTGGGTCCAAAGCCAGCTGCTTGCGAATATTCAGACAACGCTGATTGATGGCGAGCCCCTGTCGCAAGTGTTTAAGTCAGTGCACGGGCTGATTGAGGACACCAGAACTCAAATTCCAATAGGATGTACCTCGGTCGAGTCATTGTTGGCCATCTCCAATCGCTGCTTGATGTTCTGCGCGATGTGTCCCCTGCGACATACACTTCTGGCTGCATGCGATGGTCATATTCGACCCGAACAGTCCTGAAAGGATCCGACGGATTCGACTTGGATTTCACCTGAACTTGACATCTGCCGGCGTTCTGCAGGCGTTCAAAAAAGCCTTCTCTGAGCCGAGCCACGAGTCTCACGATGCGCTCTCGTTCATCCAGTGCCAGCTGCTCCTGTAGCATGTCCTGCAGCTCGGGAAATCCCAAAATCCCAAACATGGGGGGGTCCAGGCCTCGCCCTGCTCCAGCGGAGTTTTCCAGCTCTTGGGACCTCCCGATTCGCTGCCGTGAGAAAGAAGCGATCGCGCGGAAAGGGGCTCCCGGGGCTGCCGCTCCACTTTGCGGCTGAGCCTTTTCTGTCCTGGAAGGAGCTGTCCAAAGGCTCAAGGTCACCAGTGCCCTTAGATCGCGGCCTCGAGAGTTTGAAGGATTCGCTGGCCAGCTCGCTGTAGAGCAAGCATCTGTTTCGATGCAAGGTGAGATCTTGCAAAATGAGCGTGCAAACGCAGTCCTCCTCCGTGCGGGGTGTGGGAATACTACGATGGTGGTTGTCAGGCGAACGGGACCTGCAGCTTCAGCCAAGAAAGTGATTTTGTCATGCCGCCTGCAATGGCACGGAATGATGCAAAAACGCAACTGGGTCTCGACAGCATCGATGCCCGCACGGAGATCCCTCACATGTTATCCACGATGCCAGGCTTGAGGTCTCTCAGACTGAAGTAGCACTGAGGGGCGTGCCGGTGTCGGAGAATAACGGCGTCGTGCTTGCCTGTACAAACAACAGTACCATCAAAAGCACAGGTCTGGTGCCAAAGTGCCCGGCTCTCTTCGAGATGCCTCGAGCTACTTTCCACATCATGCTCCGTCTTACCCCCAGCTCCCCAAGAGCACTCTTCCGCCGTTTTGCAACAAACGACTGTTTCCAGCGCTCGAGTTGCGACTGGAATGTCTGGCTTCGGCCCGCTCGATTCTGTTTGCAGGCGACAGCATGTCTGAAATCCTTGCACATGCAGTCGACAGCTGCTGCTGAAAAGCTGTTAACAATATAGAAACTCCTCCAAACTTCTACTCCTCCCTCTTCGCCGCCTCGCCTCTTCCGCCTCCTTCGCCCTTGGATGATTCCTGCCCCTGCCATCACTGCTAGTACCACCCCTGGGCGGAACAGTTGAAGAGGCAGATTTGAAATTACTGAATGTGTCATGTGATGATGACATGCTTCGCTGCTACTCATGAGCCGTGAACATCGATGGGGTTGCTATTGGTGCTGTCGCTTCTCGTGTTGCTGATGCTGCTGCTCCAGTGCCTGCTGCAGCTGCGCTGGCGAATGGTGCCCTGCTACTGCTGGTGCTGCCGCTGGTGCTGACAGTGCTGCCATGTCGCTCCGTGTGCTGCCATGCGCGGCCATGTGCGGCCACGCGCTGCTGGTACTGCTGGTGCTGCTGGTGCCGTTTGTGCCGCTGGTGCTGCTGGTGGGTGCCTCCTGCTGCCGGCTTGGAAGCTTGTTTGCTGCCCTTGTTGGTGGGTTTGCTGTGCCTTATGCTGGTTGCCGGTTGCTGGTTGGTTGCTGCAGGCTTTGCTGCTGGTGGTGTTAGTTCCGTGCGTGTGCAGATGCTAGCCACGCCGGGTGCTTTTGCTGGTTTCTAGCAGGTTTTCCACTCACTCTTGCTGGTGATGTCACTGTCCGCGCTGTGGCTGTCGTTCTTGCCTGTCTTGTTGAATGCCAATGAACTACTGTTGTATACTCTTGTTAGTGGCTATTTGTACATGATGAGCTGGTAAACTTAGTGAGGCAGCAGTCTCAGGTCCATGCATCCACTTGTGCTAACCGCTCTTCGCATCCATGCACTCTGAGCACGCTGCCACGCCAAGTCTCACCACCGTCCGCCTCACGAGGCAGGCACGCTTCTTCCCAAGCTCAGCACGGCCGGACCCGGACATGAATGCAGCTTGGAGGCATCATCTGTGTCTAGCCTGAGCACATGGAGTTCGCAGACTCTTTTAAAAAATGCGATTTTAAAAAAATGCGCGCGTGTAGCGACAGACACGTGCATGCACATGCATGCATACACCTATGCACCGGCATCACATGGAAAAACCGACAAGACTGTGTGTGCAGATCTTCGCGTGATGATGCACGTACAGGCATGCAGTGCAAAAGCTGAGAACAAGTAACACTAAGACTGGGAGACTATCATCCGAAATGTCGGGAGATTACAGGCCCCTGCAACATCAGGATGTTCGGGCGTCTATGAGCTCTTTCATCTCGGTGTATTATGTGAGGGAAATGAAGCCTAATCTCGCCATTCTGTACCTTCTTGCCTGCATGGTGTTTCTCTGTCAAGCCTCTTACAAAATCGTTGGTTCCGAGACAAGACCTTCGATTCACAGCGCGCTGAAAGGTAATTCGACTAAAAAAACAAACAAACCTCATGTATATGTAACTGTATGCATGTCTGTGTATATACATACATTTGTCTGTCTGTTTGTTTTATCATTGCTATTCTTTGATGTTTGCGACATTGCACGTGCCACTGCGTAATGTCTAAGCTCTAACACGTGTATGTATTCACATACGTACATACGTACATACATACATCTTTCTTTCGGACGCT